CAGAACTGAGCCATTTTATACTGTTTTTTTTTTATCAAGTATAGGTTTGCATAACTTGTACAGTGCTGCGTAAACTGTTGGTGCTTAATAAATCCTGCATTATTATAATAATAAATAGCTTCAACATCTCTGAAAACTCATCAGCACAAAATTGTAATATGTTATTTGGTGATGCAGGTACCGCTTGTTTGCCTTGATATGTTTTGGGTGAAGTTGTTGCAGCATTTACTATGGTGGCAAATGTTTACCTTTGTTTTACTTTTGGTGCCTGTTATCAAAATGACAGGTGAAAACAGTTTTATGATGCTTTTATGTTCATTCTCCCACAAAGGGAATGAAAGTAAACTCTGATCTGTTGATATGGACAGCATATCAGGCTGGGGAAATGTGTTAAAGTAGTTCTATGCTCACAGCATACACTTTTGTATTCGTATTACAATGCTGATGTAATAAAATGAAACTATAGTTATTTTTGATGTTGTAAGTACTTCCTGTCTGCTGGCCATCTCTTTCCACAACTTCCTGCATGCTTTGAAGCATGTTTACTTTCAGTTTATAAGGATGACATATCCCATGTTACCTCGCTGTCCGAAAGTAGTTATTCCTGTACTGACTCAGCCACAAGCCCCCCCCCCCCCCCCCCCCCCCCCCACACACACACACACACACAAAACTCCACCTCTCAGGCTGTGTCAAATGTGTGACACAGCAGTGCATTCTCTTGTGGCATAGTGGATATGTGTCACAGAATTCAGTAGATGTGTGGGGATCTTCACATACTACGTTTACAAATCTCCAGATGGTTCAGATTAATAGGAGAAAGCTAGAAATAATTGAAATACTATGTGGAGATAAATATATGATTTTACATTTTGACCATAGATCTGATTTAAGAGGCCTGTTATATTTTTTAGGACATGATGTAAACTGATTGTGGAATGTCATTAACACAATTTACATACTTTTAAATAAAAAGCTATCTTTTTTATGACATACATTTTAATGAAAATGACTGTGTTGTATCTTCTTTCCAGCAATAGATGTTATAAAAGAGAGATATGACGAGTGTGTGTTTGTGTGTGTGCATGCATGCGCTGAGCACCTCGGCCTCATTGAAACAAATGACACATTGCTTAGAAATGAATGCAAATGTGGTCACAGTACAGTAGTCACATGACAAACATGCTGTATTGTTATCTCATATTTAAATTTGTGTATCCAAGCCCATTCATGTGATATATCCAGGAATGGATTTCTAACTAGGCCACATTGGTCATGTCCTGCAGCTTTTAACACTCTAGTGGCAGCTACTAATTAATGGCTCACAAAGTCTAGTGCCTATTAAATGTCATTGTCAGAGTCCAGCTCCCTTCTCCCTTTTCCATTGTTCAAAAACAGTATTCCTTGCACTAGGGTGCAGGGGGAGTGAATATCCTGTGTGTCCCACCTCCTGTTATCACTGCTGATGTACAAACATCACTCCCTGTCTACTAGTGTACAATAACAGTATTCCTTGCATTCTGGGGTGCAAGGGAAGTTGGCATTCATGGGGAAGCACTTATCTAGCATTTTCATCCTATGTGCCACCATAGTAACAGAGGAACAGCTGCTTCTTACTGCAAGTTGCCATTCCTTCCTTTGACCTGGGAATGAAGTGAGTCCTGGAAAGCAAAGGAAGGTCTCACTGCTGCAGTGCCTGTGAAATGTAATGTCAGTAGGATACTCCTATGGTTTTGTGTCATTGCTGTGGCTCTCTGACGGTTCTTCAGAGATTGCATTTCTGCACATTTTTGCTTATGCCACGATGATGCTGATTGTGTCTTTGCTGCGCATGTTTTGCCTTGTGCCACATCAATCCCGATTGTCTGTATGTGCATTTCTTTTGCAATACGCTACAGATTCTTTTTCTACTCATATTTCCTGTTGTATCAGTATAGTACTGTTTGTGTCTTTGTGGTCATGTTTGTGGTTGCGTCCGTACTGTACTGATTGTTTATGTGTCATTTCTGTTTGCACCAATGCAGTACTGCTTGTGTGTCTGTGGACATGTTGCTGCATAAATAGGGACAGAACTTTGAAAAAAAAAAGACATGTAGATGGCAAAGGACTACTCACCAGTATTGCCTGCGATCTCCTTGATGTTTTTTTTCATCATTACTGACTTACCATGTTTTGTTCTGCATTTTGTATGTATGCAGTGGTGGTCATCTTTGTATAGGCAGGGCATGTCAAAAACTCCAGCAAAGACAGCAATATCACCAAATCTCACTCCAAAGCACTTGAGCACATAGTATTTCTAGGTACAGAGCCTTATGTCTCACCCTGTAGATTTACAGCTATGAGGCCGGAGTGCCTAGGCACACTCTGGAAGTTCACTGCTATTTTTCTGGAGGAATTCCAGACAAAAGGTAAGTTTTTTTTCAGGGCACTGCTTAAGTCCAGTGAACATTTCTGCATTTCTTGAGTTCAGTTCCAGTTTTCTGACCAGTTGTTTTCAGTGTTAATCTAGTTGATTAATTATCTCATGCTAATTTACAGAAAATTAACATGTAAGTTATTGCAAGTTTATTCATTAATGATAACTAAGTGATTTACGTCTACCATTAACCTATATTTCAAAACATTCACCAAATATAATGTAAAAACAAACATAAGAGGGTGCCTCCATCTAGGTGCAGCAATTTATTAAAAAGAATAAAAGACAATAAAATGCACTCACTAGTTAAAAGTGAAAAAGGCTAAGTAACAGTCTTATCATAAACCCAGCCAAGAGAGGCGCTGACTGGAGCCGCAGCCATCTTGCTACACCCAGAAGCCTGATAGCTGTACTTCGACCAGGAACTCTGCCTCAGTTAGCCACTTGCCTACTGAGCTTTGCAGCCTCACGGTGATCTTATGGCAGTCTATATGGGTTTATGACAAGCCTTGATCCACTTTTTACTAGTGAGTGCATTTTTATTGTCTTTTATTATTTTTAATAAATTGCTACACCTAGATGGAGGCACCCTCTTGTGGTTTTTTATATATGTGCATTAGGATATCAAGACCTAATCTGAGAGGAGCTGCATCCACTCCACCCTACCACTCTCCTGGTCTTGCCGTTAAATGACGATTGGAGTCTAGTCAGCAAAATAGCTTATTCATTTTCTTTGGTTACCAAAAGTATAATGTGCCGTGTTAATTTCTTCAGTGGTTATTGGGATGGAAGGGGGGTGGGTTGGAGTGGTATAGGGGTTTTCTTGGCACAAGGTAACCTGCCTAGGGGTGAAAAAAAATATTGCCTTGGGTACACTGGCTACACACAAGCTTTCAAGGAAAATAAGTTATTAGCACCGAGGGGGGTTCTACTTTTAAATTCAATCTAATGGAAAATATATGCACATCTCTGACTTGGAAAGGCGCAAACATATGTCCAGATGTTTCTGAGTTATTGTTGGCACCCTTCCTGGGATGTTTACAAGCGTGTGTCCATCATTGAACTTAGGTATAATGTGGTCATTCTATTTAGATGGAGTTTAAAAAATGTGTGGTCATTCTGTCAAGTCTGTGTTTACCTATCAATCTGATTTCTGCAGTATGATCTCTACTTTACAGGGCAAGTAAATGAAATAAAAACAAACAACATGCATATTACCATTCTGTTTTATTCCACTTCCTGTAAACATGATTCCTGAAACTCACCTCCAGAAATTAAAGAACAGCAGCACATTTATTAAAGTAGTTTCCAGAGATTTTGTTGGAAATGGTGTAAGTTGGACTTGACCTGGTTTGCCAGATCTCATGTAAGAAACAGCCCATTACTGCCCAGGGGATATAAGATGTATGGAGATCACCATAATAAATTTGATTCCATGTAATTGCATAAATAATTGAATAATTGCATGTAATAAATGGCTGGAATCTGGGAAATTCAGCAACCCTGTATTTGATGTTGTAGTTTACATTGTTCTAGATTAATCACATATACCATAGGGATTTTTCATTAGGGAGTTAACATACAAAATTATTTTGTTTTTGGTGGATGCTGATAGGCTGAATTATTCACTGACTTCTTATATTTTCAGAGGATCCTATTGATGTGGTGCTCTGACTCCCCTTCTCCCATGGGCTGCTCATTATCTTCATTTTTTGAAGTCAAGTAAGGACTCTAAATCCTCCTGTTTGTATTTTTTCTACTGTAAAATTATTAAGTAAATGGGGAATGCAGTGGGGAGTGCGAGTCCATTGCTAATGTTAGGCAGACATAGCCAGGACCTCATAAATGTAATTGTCAGTGCCCCAGATAAGTATATGAATCTAAGGTGTGATTCATTCTGTTTTCCACCACCTCTGAAATATGCCTGGCTTAAAGTGTTACTAAACTCACAATGGTAAAATCAGCCTGTATACGTAAAGCATGCTTGTTATGCTCATTATGGAACCTAAGGGTGTAAAAAGGTGGTTTGATCCGGCCTTCTCTGATCCTCCCCTTCTACTGTCCCCAATCCATCTTCTGATAATACAGAGCGCTAGGAGTTGCTCTGCACATGCTCAGTTTAGTGTGTATTGCTAGAGAGTTTTTTTTCTTTGGGAGGATGCATGTGATCAGCACAGTCCAGAGAGAGGGTCAGGGGTTATGCAGCCTCAAAGGACAGTCAGAGGAGAATGAAAACTCCTACAAGCTTTAACCAATGCTCAGCTGGACACTGATAGAAGTCACAAGACTACTATATACTGCTGATGAGAAAAGGTATTTAGCAGTTTATATTTAGGAAAATAATTGCAATTCCATATTCTGTGTACTGTGGGAGAACAGATATAGTGAATGCAGGGTCCTGGGTTTAGTAACACTTTAAACCTCAACTGATTTTGAAAAAGCATAATCTAAATTTACAAATATAAACGTGCATGAATATCTCTTGGTGGTCCTTCATGGTTCTTCCTTCTTAAGGTCCTAGACATGGTTCCAACGATCAAATGCCCCAATATTTTGTAAACCATTTTAAGCATGTTGTCTCAGGCTAGCGAAGAATTTTGGAGGAATCTGAAGTCTCATCACCATCATTATATGGCTCCTAGGCAGAAAAGAGCAAATAAAAGTTACTAGATACCAGGCAATACATGACCATAATTGAACCAGGGTTTTCTTACAGAATCTGTATTACAACAGACATTACTCTTTATTATGAACAGTAAAGACATAAACTTGTTGCAGAGATAAATTCCTACTCTTGCTAGGGATGCATTTGGGTTTGTTCCCCTCTCAGGTTAGGACTGAAGCCGGAAGGAAGCGGCTACTCCTGCTCATTGCTGCCCCGTCAAGTGTAGCCAGGGCGTTTCCCACCCTAAAGCTGCATGTACACAAAGGGGCTAGGATATTCATGACATCACTGACATATCATGGCTATATTTGGATAATGTCATTGTGGCAATATTAGGTCAATAATGTCACAAGCACCCCCACCCCTTTGTGCACGAGTAGCTGTGGTGCAGGGTTTGATTCTGCAGCAGTGACAGCTTTCTCCTGGGTTCGAACCTAACCCAAGCTCATCCCTAATAATGACCAACTGTAATGCTTTCCCTACACCAAGCATTTTCGGGAGCTTTCAATCAAAGCAATTTGTCACCAACGTTGTCAATTATTTTCAAGTTCCAAGCAATCCGGCAAACGAAACTGATAGACCTTGATCAAAACTACCATTTAAAATCAAACAAATCACCAATCAAAATGCATTTTTGTTTGATTCCAAGCAATTTCAATTATTTGCTTGAAATGTGGAAATGATTTTGAGCAAAGGTGGTGGATTGCTCTGAATTGTTCTAAATCAAAACCTGATGGAAAGCATCCATGATTACCAGGTACAGGATCAGCCTAACAACTACTGGCATCTACAACACTGGCAGTGAAGTGACCTGTAAACTGGAATGCTGAGGACCTTTGATTTTTCCACAAAGCAGGCTTTTTAATACAATATGGCATACTACAAAATAGATGTGTTTTTGTATAACGCTGGAGTAATGGGGGATGTTTCAGCCTACTTGAAGCAGTATTAAGTCCAAAAGCAATCATTTGTTTTATTGCAGCTAACCAATTCTTAGATGTGATGGCTGTATTCGTTTTTCTTTCCTTTATTTTCATCTGGTGATCTTGCAGGTGACTCGGTTGTTTTTCAACAAAAGAAGCTGCATGCAGATTTAGCAGTTAGAGGGTTGAGAAGACCCATTTCACACTGACAATGGTGCTTATAATGATCATTTTTGTTTATTTATCCCAAAAGAAATAAAACTGTTGTAACTGCTTCAAAAGTTAGCCTTGGCCTTCAATTTAATAGTGTATGTAAATTTGTAGTACAACTAACACTCTCCTCCCCCCAGACTGACAATGCTGCTAACCAAAGGTGTCTCTGTTGTTCCTTTATTCAGAGATTAGGCACCCTAAGAGGAAGGCACCCTTCAGAGGAAGTGTGTTACTGGACAGATCACCAGGTTAAAAAACAGAGGGAAAAATCTTAATAAAGAAAGCAAATGTAGTCACCACATCTAATGAATGGTAAGCTGCAGTATATTACATTTGTGGTTTTGGGTTTAGGCAGAAATAAATCCTTTACAGCTGAGGAGAGCGTTATCTAAAACTGACCATAGATAATTTATTTTTTCATTCAGCTAGCGAAAAAAAAGCAAACAGATTCCTCCATCCACACAAGCAAGGTGGATAGAGGAATCCTCCCCACTGGGACATTGTAGTCTGACAGCAGGAGTCGGCTATTCCAGCACATGGACCTTGCCAGCAATGTACAATTATGTTTGGCTCAGTTTACATGCCCTAGAAGTCTGCGAGCTTGCAGGTAGGTGTATTTTATTGCAGAGAAGACTGTGCATGTCTCTTCTGTGATAAATAGCCTGCCTGCTCGTAAGTTTTTTTTTTTTTGCTTTCAGTTCTGCTTTAATAATCAGCCACTCTGAGAACGTTCAGATTTTATTACCTCAAACTGGTCAAAGAAACCGTTAGCTCCATAAACTGGATTTGGAAAGTTTACTAGAGGAGGATTCATAACCTCTTGCATATCTAGGTCATCATCTTCCCCCTATAATGAAAAATGGGCATAAATGAGTTACAGTCAGATGAGCTATTTTCAAACAAAGCCAGGAATTATATTTCAGTTGAAATTATATAATTGATTATGACAAGATTTAAAGTGGTGTAAACGGGATATTTTTATTTTAATGTCCCAAAGAAAAAAGTTGGTGTTTATAGAAAGTAAACCTGTTTTTTCTTTTCTATACTGTACAAAAAAGGTTATTTATTATGAAAAAAATAACCAGTTCAATATAAACAAACTCCAGAGGAATCCACGACTCTAGGCGCAGAGCCATGCATTGGACTCTCCTTTCACTGTACTGCCATTTATTATTTTACTCACCTGGGTCTCCACCACTACAGCTTCTTCCTTTAATTACTGAGAGATGTGTAAAATTGTTCTTGTATCACATTGTTGTTGCGCTTTGGATGGTGTTTGTATTATTGTAGATATATATTTATATTTCATATCAACATGCACTTTGGCCTTCTTTATTATATGCAGTATGGAATTTTCACTTCATAATATTTAGACTCGGGTCTATCCAGCAGATGGTTCCATAATGAAACTCTGTTGGACAGCTTTTTCGACTGACTTTATATCAGTTTGAAAAAAGAATGTATTGTGTTTTAATAGGTTTTAGGAGTTAAAGAAACAGAAGAATGAAAGCACAAAAAGCCAAGTGGTCAGTTGAGTCTGCCCTTTTCTTTTTTAATCTTTTTTTGTCTTAGAAAAGATCTCTGTTTGTCCCAAGTTGCCTGACTTGTTTTCACTTATCAGTATGTTTTTGCAAGAAACGTCTCCAGAACGGGACACAGTATTCTAAAGGAGGTCTAATTAAAGAATCAGGACCGTCCTGCTGGAGATCCCTCTAGTAATAAACCCCACAATTCCATTCACTTTCTCACTGTTTTGCTACATTGTTTGGTCATTTTGCAATCAACAAAAATAAGTACTCCCAACTCTTTTTTCCATCATACTTCAGGCCAACACTGTACCCCCAAGTTTTGTACATCAGGGGATTTTTTTCTCTGAGTGCATTATTTTGGACTGTAGTTTCCACTGCTTAATTATCCAGCAATGCCAAGTCATGATCTGTGTATAAACACCTCCAGGAATGTCAACAGACATACCTTGCCTACCAAACCTTCACCCTATAACACTTGCAGATAGATTGAGGGTCCAATCACACCAGCCCCTGTGTTACGACACAGTGGCTGGTGTGCAGTACGATCAGTGAGGTGCCCCGATCCCAGGTTGTCACACTGTTCACACAGTGACATTTCATTAAGTACTATCAGCCGGCTTGCAGTGACTGCATTACATCGGAAAGAGGTACCACTTTTTTCAGCTCACACCTCCTGCACACCACAGCAATGAGGTGGTGTGAACCAGTAACACCAGAGACTAGACATTTTGGCTTGTCTTGCAGTGGGGGTGCTGTGGGGCTGCTCTGGAATAGCCAACCAATGCAGTCCACCACACCTGGTGTAAATGTTCCCTTAATACAACAGGACCTAGTACAGAGCTTTGTGGAACACCACTAGTGACTAGTTCCCCTGTTCCAAATAATTGCTTATTCACCAAACCACCCAAAGGCTATAAGTGCTAGCTTTGACAGATCTATTATGAAATCATTATGTGGAACTGTATCAAATGCATTGCTGAAATCAGGTCACATAACCAGCCTACCCCAAAACGTTTCTTATTTAGTCAAAAAAGTAATCTAATTAGATTGACATGATCTGCCCTCAGTAAAGCCATGGTGCTTTAGATTTAGCAAGCTGAACGTTATATTAAATGATTATTGGCTCATGTAAACACAGTCAAAGCCAACAAGTTTCTGGGATGATACACACACAGACATATAGGAAGGTAATGGTTTTACGTCATTATAGGAATGACCCTCTAAATAAAGTGCAGTTAAGTACAAAGGTACATTCATTTGTTTTGTGAATTTTTTGCACATGCTTACTGAAATCCCTAGGCTTGCATTTTCCCTTACCATTAATTGACCACATATGCTTAGTTTACTTATGGAGGCCTTTCCCATTCACACAAATAACTTACAAATGGTTACTGGGGCACATAACCAGCTTGATGGCATGCCATCCTTGGGTTCCCTAGGGGTACAGGTGCTCACCTAAAGGCAAAACATTAGGACATTAATATATTAAATGTTGACCAACCTTGAAATGTCTGAATTGAAAACCATCATTCTGTTTTCGGTAGTAAAGGTAACCAACAGCAGTGGCAGCAATCAGTGCAATTACTATTGCTGTTACCATCCCTGCAGTTACAGGATGTGTTATCTGGCTGTCTGCAATCTCCTAAAAGTACAAATCATGTTAGGAAATTAAGTTTGTAGTGAAATATAATCAGAGAAAACAATAGCTGTGCTTAGCCCTGTAGAGACTGCAAAATATACATAATAGTATACATCTTGTTAAGGACATTTCAGGAATATAGAACAATTGCATGTGTGTTAGTTATATGGTCATATACAAGCAGCAATGTCCCAAGCTCATATTATTATTATTATACAGTATTTATATAGCGCCAACAGTTTGCTCAGCGCTGTACATTGCAATGGGAGACAATACACAAGACAGTACAATAACAATACAATGCGATACACGAGGGGTTCGAGGGCCCTGCTCCTTGGAGCTTACAATCTAGGAGGGAGGGGATAGTGGTACAGGAGGAATAGCTGAGGGGGATGGAGTGGTAGGAAGAGTGGAGGAGATCGGCAATTAGCTGAGGGGGGGTAGGCTTCCCTGAAGAGGTGGGTTTTCAGGGTGCGCCTGAAGGAGAGGAGAGTAGGTGATAGTCTGATGGATTGGGGTAGGGAGTTCCAGAGGATGGCGGAAGTCCTGGAGACGGGCATGGGAGGAGGAGACCAGGGAACTAGAGAGTAGGAGGTCTTGTGAGGAGCGGAGAGTACGTTTTGGGTGGTATTTGGATATCAGGTCGGTGATGTAGTTTGGGGCAGTGTTATGGACAGCTTTGTACATCAGTGTTAGCATTTAGAATTTTATCCGTTGGGCAATCGGAAGCCAGTGGAGGGATTAGCAGAGGGGGGTGGCGGATACGGAGCGTTTAGTAAGGTGGATTAGTCTGGCCGCAGTATTCAGGATAGACTGAAGCGGGGATAGCCTGTGGTGAGGTAGGCCCGGGTGACGAGGGAGTTACAGTAGTCAAGTCGTGATATGACAAGGGAGTGAATGAATTGCTTAGTGGTTTCCGGGGTTAGGAACAGACGTATTTTGGAGATGTTGCGGAAGTGGAGTCTACATGAGTTTGTCAACAATTGGACCTGGGGCTAGAAGGACAGATTGGAGTCTAGGATTACACCAAGCACTCTGGCTTGCGGGGTGGGACTGATGGTGGCATTGTTGGTCGTGATGGAGAAGTCGGGGGGGGGGGGCGCAGGCTGAGGGGGGGGGGGGGAACTAGGAGCTCGATTTTGGAAAGGTTCAGGTTTGAGGAAGTGGAGTGACATCCAATCCGATATGTCGTTCAGTAGGCTAGTGATTCGGGCGGAGACTGAAGGGGTGAGGCGAGGGGTAGAGAAATAGATTTGCGTGTCGTCGGCATAGAGATGGTAGTTGAAGCCGTGAGAGTGTATCAGTTGGCCAAGGGAGGAGGTGTAGATGGAGAAGAGAAGGGGCCCGAGGACAGAGCCTTGAGGGACCCCAACAGAGAGGGGGAGTGGGGGAGAGGTGCAGAGTTATAGGTAACACTGAAGGAGCACTGTGATAGATAAGAAGAGAGCCAGGAGAGCGGAATCTCTGAGGCCAAGAGAGTGGAGTCTCTGAGGCCAAGAGAGTGTAGTTTTGTGAGGAGGAGGGGGTGGTCGACTGTGTGGAAAGCCGCGTAGAGGTCGAGGAGTAGGAGCACTGAATAGTGCCATTAGCTTTGGCGGTTAGCAGGTCGTTGGTGAGTTTGAGTAAGGCAGTTTCGGTGGAGTGTAGGGGACGAAAGCCAGACTGTAGGGGATCAAGGAGGTTGTTGTCGTTGAGGTGGGAGCTTAGGCGATTATAGACTAAGTGCTCAAGGAGTTTGGATGTAAATGGCAGCAGGGAGATGGGTCTAAGGTTGTTCAGGTCGGTGGGATCCAGAGAGGGTTTTTTAAGTATGGGAGTGATGTGCGCATACTTCAGAGGGGAGGGGAATGCGCCAGTAGAGAGTGAGAGATTAAAGATGTGAGTGTGGGAGCGTAGGATGGAGGAGGAGGGAGAACGTAGGAGTTGTGAGGGGACAGGGTCGAGGGGACAGGTGGTGAGGCGGGCTTCGGAGAAGACCTTGTTGACCTCTTCAGTGGTAGCAAGGTCGAAGGAGTGGAGTGTTGAGGGGGGTTTTGGTGTGAGGAGTGTTTAGGTGGGGTGGAGGTCTGGACAGTGGTGAGGTCGAGGGAGAGGGGTGTTGAGGGGATTTTTTCGTGTGAGGGGTTCTAGGTGGGGTGGAAGTCTGAGCAGTGGTGATGTCCCTACGAATTGGGTTGATCTTGTTTTTGAAGTGGTTGGCAATCTCGTGGGCGGTGAGTGAGGTACTGGATGGAGGTGGGGGCGGAGAGAGTAGAGAGTTAAAAGTAGAGAAGAGGGTATTGATGAGGGTCACAAAGTAGGCTTGCTTGGCAGCGTGGAGGGAGCAAGTGTAGGTCAGGAAGACAGATTTATATTGAGTGAACGCTAGTACATTACATTAGGGTTTCAGCTATCTATGCATAAAATAGGGTTTACTTACCAGTAAAGGTGGTGCAAGTAATGGTCCATGAATGATATGTATGATTCCATTAAAGGCAGGGATATCCCACTGGATAATTATTTTGCCATTTACAACCTTTGAGCACTGTAGCAAAATTAAAATAGAACCAAAACAGTCTTAGATGAATAGTAATGACAACAGTGAACTAATTGTAGGCATTAAATGGGTTTACGTTCAGAAGACAGAGTCATTTACCTTATTAGTGTATTGCTAGAGAGTTTTTTTTTTTTTTTTTTCTTGAGAGAGTGCATGTGATCAGCACAGGGCCAATCAGCACTGTCTACAGTGGATCACAGGATTGCAGTACATTTTGCAATCCTGTGACCAATTTTCAGCTGACAGCAGACTGAAGCCCGCTGACGTCACTGGTCCAGGCTGGAGAAAGATCCCGACTTTAAAGTCGGGATCTACCCCAGAGTCTGGTGCGGCACCTGGTTCAAGCTCTCAGAGAAGCGCTGAGAGCCTGAGCCAGATGCTTCCTCTCCCTGCACAACCCAGCGCTCCAGTGAGCGCTGGGGGGGCAGAGCAAACAGTGGTGACTGACAGTCCCTGATCTCTGCTCAGAGCAGCTGTGAGAAATCAGTGATCATGTGATTGCTGAGTTCTCACACCTATGGCCAACGGGGGAGCAATGCTACATCCACCTAAGTATAAATGGAGGGGGAAAAACCCTAGTCCTTTTTTATATAGTTCATATACTGTACATTTTAAAAGCACCCTTGCATAGTGTAAGTTTTAGTAGCTTACTAGGCTGGAAGATTCTGCTCTTTTATTATGTCCCCAACGAGCCTTTAAGCAACACATTACATTGCAATCCTTCCCCACATCATCATCATCAAGAATTAGTAAACAGCTGTCAGGGGCTTTAGGCTCAGGTCCTGCTGCAATGCACATTCAAACATGTACAGTCTGTAAACTGAATATTTTTTATTGTAGCCCTTATTTAAGTCCATATATGTGCTATAGAGTTTTATATTTCAATAAAAAAAAAAGAGTGGAACTGTCATCAGATTTTCAATTTGCTACCATAATATATAAAAAAAGTTATATTGCATATATTGCTGGCTGGAGCAAATGTGAACGTTGATGATTCCATCCCCTAAAATGTGAACAAAGGAGCTATCACACACTCATTCATTAGAAATATCCAATATCTACTTACTGGAGGTTGAGAGCAATTACCGAGGAACTCAGAGATAGAAAGATTGTATCCTGTGTTGGAAACCAATGTGGTACCATTTGTCAGATTTGAGTATGGGAGTAAAATGTCCAGTTTAGTGATGTGATGTTCTAAATCCCGCCATGTTATTGTCTGTAAAAAAAAAAAAAGTAAGGTCATTTAATAGGAAGGGTTTAGAGATCCAATTTGTGTGTGAAAATGAAGTGATACTTCACCAGGATAAATCAGAAGTACTTCACACATAGGGAAGATGAAATACCTCATACTAAGATATAAAGCTAACAGATATACCCATAGAGGATATGAACAGAACATGCAGCGCTGTTGAAAATCAATCATACATGTAGAAAATAATACATTGTAAGAAGAGTGATAAGGCGACCGCTGCTAAATAATGGCCCATCAAAATGTTCATAAATTGCAATGACATAAATATCTCCAATGAGAGTGTTCTTGTGGTGCACAGTGCACAATATCACAATGAAGTGGTGAACAAAAAGGTGACTTCCGTGACCATATTCCTCCCACCGAAATGAGTGTAGATTGCACTAACCAGAAAGCGCAATAGCAATGCGCATTTGAGTATTAACCAACTCCTGGTCATCCGTCTATTTAAGCTGGATCACTGGGAGGGTCATCAGGCTAGCGTCCGCTGGGCAGAATATCCTAACCACAGGATCTCCAGATGTCAGGGGGTGTACACTCGTCTCACCAGCAGGGGGAGATTAATCGTTCCCAGTGTGGCCACCAGATGGTCCCCAAACAAACCTTGAAACGGGGGGGGCTCGCAAAAAACGAGCCAGAGCGACAAGAAGATCCAATAGTGTAGTACTTTTATTAGCCACAAGAGTAAAAGAACAAAACAGTAGATATGCTACTCACATGATATAGTAAGCAGCTGTGTATGGGGAATACCAGGAATCATCAAAAGAAGGCAATGGCCGCCGGCCGTCCACAGGGGCCGTGCGGTGTGACGTCACAGAGTATGAGGCAATCGTGGGGCAACTCCCTAACGCGTTTCGTGCGCTTGCACGTTTTCAAAGGGAGTAGGCCTCCTATACTGCCCATTCCTATATACAGTGTGCCGCGCATGCGCTGTTCCGCCGTATCGCGTCATCGCGAACGGTTCGCGCATGCGCGTTGTGCGCGGACGGCGGCCATTTTACTGGAGCACAGGAAGCACGAGGAAGCACAGTGTAAACATAGGAAAAGTGCCAGAACATGTAAGCTGGCTAGCAAGTGTGTTGGATATCACATATGGCCAAATGACAGTATATTGCAAGGCCCTGGTGGTTTGCAAAGGTGGTACCTGATGTATACCACCCCCCACCTGTAGTAATGAACATTTAAATAATGCGCTCGTCACGAGCGGTCCGCGCATGCGCAGTAAGTATCAATGGCGGCCATTGTCCTGAAGTACAGTGTGAAAAGACAATGGTACCGTAATACAAAACCCCTATAACCAGGTTGTAATGCGATGTAAATTATACATCCAGAGATTGGGCCAGGTTGACAGGTACAAAATGCTCAAAACCAGGGGCATAAGGCATACAAGTACAGTGTCAGCATCATATTAATGAAAAATTCACAGATGCTTGAGGGCAGCTTACATGGACTCGTGCAGAGCTAAAAATCTTCATAAAACAAAATACATGACATAACATGTTAAAAAATGATAAAACATCTAAAAAACATCCCAATCGTCGAACACGTGAGTATATCTATATTTGGTATTAAATTCATATGTGTCGTGTCTGTCGACCATAATTGATTAGGATTGGTAGCATTCCACATCCAGACAATAAAAAATACTTATAAAATGCATAAAGGACAGATCTCATTAACCGATGTTGTTGTATACTCGTGTATACTGATGATAGGGATACTCCCTAAAATTCTAATATATATTAAAAATAAATGTGAGGAATATAATGGACTAGAGGCGTGAAAGAGATGTATACAACCCATGTACAAACCGTATCATATCAGAAACGGAATGTAGTCCGGTAAACAAATAGGGAACCTAGAATCCAGCCAGGAGATAAATAACTCACAAATAAGAGCGTTATGACTTCTGTGAGGGGTCAAGTAAAGTGTATCCCATAGGGAGGGTTACTGCCATCCTGTGGTTATCACAACTCGTGGGTATAAGGGAAGGTTTAATCAACTGGTATCAATGTAGCAGTTGATATCAAGGTCTATATTGAGGCCTTCAGGCGCGGACGTTCTCAATAAAAAAATCCATTTAGTCTCTAGTTTAGATACTTCACGCTTTTTGAATATGCCTCTCCAGTGATTTTTAATCATGTCTATACCGATAAACTTCAGACAGTGTGGGTTTCTACCATGTTTTTTTCTGAAGTGTAAAGACAATGAGTGTTCTCTGAACCCTTTTTTGATATTTGACAGGTGTTCTCGTAATCTATCCCTTAATCTTCTGATCGTTCTTCCTATGTATTGTTTGCCACATGAACATTCCAGCAAGTATACTACGTGTGTGCTATTGCACGTGATGACTGATTGTATATCATAGGATTTTCCCGTCTGATTAGACCGGAATGATGTCACCGGTTTCTTGTGTATGCCATTCATGGTACAAATCATGCATCGATTACATGGATAGAAACCTTTCCGGTTAAAGAAGAACGATAGCTCCTTTGGGGGGTCCACAACATTAGGGGCCACTAGATTTCTCAAAGGGGGTGCCTTGCGGTATACAATTTCAGGATATCCGGCAGAGCCTTCCCCAAGATAGGGTCATTTTTCAAAATCGGCCAATTTTTCTTGATTGTTTTTGCTATCTGTTTAAATTGAATCGAAAAGCTAGTGATAAATGGACAAACAATGCTTTTCCTGGTTGGGTTTGTGTCCGTAGATACAAGCAAGTCTCTATTCAGGTTACCAACCTCCTTTATATCTTCCTCTAGGTGTATTGGGTTATACCCTTTATCTACAAACCTCTTTTTAAGGACCTGGGATTGGATATTATAATCTACCAGACTGTCACAGTTTCTGCGTATTCGCAGAAACTGGCCCCTTGGGATGGTATCCAGCCATCTCGGGTGGTGACAGCTATCTTTTGGTATAAAGCTGTTCCTGTCGGTGGCTTAAAGTAGCTCTTGGTTAAGATTCTTTGTCCATCGTTAAAAAGGGTCAGATCTAAAAAATTTATCTCCCTGTAATCGTATTGGAATGTTAGTTTAATATTAAGATTGTTAGAATTTAATGTAATAAAAATTTTTTTTAGGGAGAATTCATCTCCATTCCATAATAGAAAAATGTCGTCTATGTAACGACGGTAAAAAATGAGGTGAGGCCACTCCATGGAATAAATTAACTCCTCTTCCCATTTCGCCATAAACAAATTGGCTAAACTGGGGGCAAATTTTGCCCCATCGCCACGCCCATGATTTGTAAATAGTGTTTGCCACCAAACCAAAAATGATTGTGAGTCATGGCGAAGTTAAGCAAATCCAAAATGAATGTTTTTTGTGGTTTAGGGATATCATCTGCCGAGTTAAGGTAAAAATCCACAGCGTCCATACCGTCTAAGTGTCTAATGTTACTATAGAGTGCGGCCACGTCAGCTGTGACCAGGTATGTCGGCTGGAGAATGTCAACATTTCTGATGTCAGTCAGAACCTGTTTAGTATCTTTGAGGAAGGCCGGCGTTTTGATGACTAGCGGTTGGAGGTAATGATCAATGTATTCGCCAATGCGTGAGCAAAGAGAGCCTATACCACTCACATTCTCCAGCCGACATTCCTGGTCGCAGCTGACGTGGCCGCACTCTATAGTAACATTAGACACTTAGACGGTATGGGCGCTGTGGATTTTTACCTTAACTCGGCAGATGATATCCCTAAACCACCAAAAAACATTCATTTTGGATTTGCTTAACTTCGCCATGACTCACAATCATTTTTGGTTTGGTGGCAAACACTATTTACAAATCATGGGCGTGGCGATGGGGGCAAAATTTGCCCCCAGTTTAGCCAATTTGTTTATGGCGAAATGGGAAGAGGAGTTAATTTATTCCATGGAGTGGCCTCACCTCATTTTTTTACCGTCGTTACATAGACAACATTTTTCTATTATGGAATGGAGATGAATTCTCCCTAAAAAATTTTTTTATTACATTAAATTCTAACAATCTTAATATTAAACTAACATTCCAATACGATTACAGGGAGATAAATTTTTTAGATCTGACCCTTTTTAACGATGGACAAAGAATCTTAACCAAGAGCTACTTTAAAGCCACCGACAGGAACAGCTTTATACCAACAGATAGCTGTCACCACCCGAGATGGCTGGATACCATCCCAAGGGGCCAGTTTCTGCGAATACGCAGAAACTGTGACAGTCTGGTAGATTATAATATCCAATCCCAGGTCCTTAAAAAGAGGTTTGTAGATAAAGGGTATAACCCAATACACCTAGAGGAAGATATAAAGGAGGTTGGTAACCTGAATAGAGACTTGCTTGTATCTACGGACACAAACCCAACCAGGAAAAGCATTGTTTGTCCATTTATCACTAGCTTTTCGATTCAATTTAAACAGATAGCGAAAACAATCAAGAAAAATTGGCCGATTTTGAAAAATGACCCTATCTTGGGGAAGGCTCTGCCGGATATCCCTGAAATTGTATACCGCAAGGCACCCCCTTTGAGAAATCTAGTGGCCCCTAATGTGTGTGGACCCCCCAAAGGAGCTATCGTTCTTCTTTAACCGGAAAGGTTTCTATCCATGTAATCGATGCATGATTTGTACCATGAATGGCATACACAAGAAACCGGTGACATCATTCCGGTCTAATCAGACGGGAAAATCCTATGATATACAATCAGTCATCACGTGCAATAGCACACACGTAGTATACTTGCTGGAATGTTCATGTGGCAAACAAAACATAGGAAGAACGATCAGAAGATTAAGGGATAGATTACGAGAACACCTGTCAAATATCAAAAAAGGGTTCAGAGAACACTCATTGTCTTTACACTTCAGAAAAAAACATGGTAGAAACCCACACTGTCTGAAGTTTATCGGTATAGACATGATTAAAAATCACTGGAGAGGCATATTCAAAAAGCGTGAAGTATCTAAACTAGAGACTAAATGGATTTTTTTATTGAGAACGTCCGCGCCTGAAGACCTCAATATAGACCTTGATATCAACTGCTACATTGATACCAGTTGATCAAACCTTCCCTTATACCCACGAGTTGTGATAACCACAGGATGGCAGTAACCCTCCCTATGGGATACACTTTACTTGACCCCTCACAGAAGTCATAACGCTCTTATTTGTGAGTTATTTATCTCCTGGCTGGATTCTAGGTTCCCTATTTGTTTACCGGACTACATTCCGTTTCTGATATGATACGGTTTGTACATGGGTTGTATACATCTCTTTCACGCCTCTAGTCCATTTATATTCCTCACATTTATTTTAATATATATTAGAATTTTAGTGAGTATCCCTATCATCAGTATACACGAGTATACAACAACATCGGTTAATGAGATCTGTCCTTTATGCATTTTATAAGTATTTTTTATTGTCTGGATGTGGAATGCTACCAATCCTAATCAATTATGGGTCGACAGACACGACACATATGAATTTAATACCAAATATAGATATACTCACGTGTTCGACGATTGGGATGTTTTTTAGATGTTTTATCATTTTTTAACATGTTATGTCATGTATTTTGTTTTATGAAGATTTTTAGCTCTGCACGAGTCCATGTAAGCTGCCCTCAAGCATCTGTGAATTTTTCATTAATATGATGCTGACACTGTACTTGTATGCCTCATGCCCCTGGTTTTGAGCATTTTGTACCTGTCAACCTGGCCCAATCTCTGGATGTATAATTTACATCGCATTACAACCTGGTTATAAGGGTTTTGTATTACGGTACCATTGTCTTTTCACACTGTACTTCAGGACAATGGCCGCCATTTGATACTTACTGCGCATGCGCGGACCGCTCGTGACGAGCGCATTATTTAAATGTTCATTACTACAGGTGGGGGGTGGTATACATCAGGTACCACCTTTGCAAACCACCAGGGCCTTGCAATATACTGTCATTTGGCCATATGTGATATCCAACACACTTGCTAGCCAGCTTACATGTTCTGGCACTTTTCCTATGTTTACACTGTGCTTCCTCGTGCTTCCTGTGCTCCAGTAAAATGGCCGCCGTCCGCGCACAACGCGCATGCGCGAACCGTTCGCGATGACGCGATACGGCGGAACAGCGCATGCGCGGCACACTGTATATAGGAATGGGCAGTATAGGAGGCATACTCCCTTTGAAAACGTGCAAGCGCACAAAACGCGTTAGGGAGTTGCCCCACGATTGCCTCATACTCTGTGACGTCACACCGCACGGCCCCTGTGGACGGCCGGCGGCCATTGCCTTCTTTTGATGATTCCTGGTATTCCCCATACACAGCTGCTTACTATATCATGTGAGTAGCATATCTACTGTTTTGTTCTTTTACTCTTGTGGCTAATAAAAGTACTACACTATTGGATCTTCTTGTCGCTCTGGCTCGTTTTTTGCGAGCCCCCCCCCCGTTTCAAGGTTTGTTTGGGGACCATCTGGTGGCCACACTGGGAACGATTAATCTCCCCCTGCTGGTGAGACGAGTGTACACCCCCCTGACATCTGGAGATCCTGTGGTTAGGATATTCTGCCCAGCGGACGCTAGCCTGATGACCCTCCCAGTGATCCAGCTTAAATAGACGGATGACCAGGAGTTGGTTAATACTCAAATGCGCATTTCTATTGCGCTTTCTGGTTAGTGCAATCTACACTCATTTCGGTGGGAGGAATATGGTCACGGAAGTCACCTATTTGTTCACCACTTCATTGTGATATTGTGCACTGTGCACCACAAGAACACTCTCATTGGAGATATTTATGTCATTGCAATTTATGAACATTTTGATGGGCCATTATTTAGCAGCGGTCGCCTTATCACTCTTCTTACAATGTATTATATTCTACATGTATGATTGATTTTCAACAGCGCTGCATGTTCTGTTCATATTTACTATTAGAGGCTTTTGGTGTTTGCCTTTCATGCATGTCGCTTTCTGTATTTTGTCCAGCGCTCGTTTCATTTCTGTCTCGATATACCCATAGAGGAGGTGAAGTGATATCTCATACTAATATACAGAACAGATTTAGCCATAGAGGAGGTGAAGTAATGCTTTTTAATATAAAAAAGAACAGATTCTCACACTGAGGAGAAATTAAGGTGAAGCAAAAATGTTTAAAAAAGCATTAAATTATACTTGTGCACCTATTAAAGTGAACTGACCATAATAGATATGCAGGCACTGCCACTGTCAATTCTTTTAGGCTACATTCACATGGGCAGGCAGGGGTGCATAGTTTGTGGTGTTTAGAGTGGCTAAACACCATCTCTAGACGCAGCAACTCTCTATGCTGTGGCCACATACACAAACTGGCCGATTAGCTTCAGACAGAACTCAACAAAAATGCCAACCTTGGACGCACGCTGCCTGCATCCAGGGTCAGACGGAAGCTCTATTTGCATGCAACCACACAGATAAGTGCTCACAACTATTGATTGTACAGAGTACAAGAGCTGCTGTTGGTTCTACACACCGTGTACATTCTTGCTGGTGGCCGTCCTTTGTGCAGCTTTGTGAATGTAGCCTTAGATGGTGCTAGTTCTCTTGCTCATTGCCGGGATTCACTCTCAAAAACTAGCAATAGTTTAAGTATGCAGCCAAGAAAGTCAGAACTCATATTTGTTCTTGGTCAGTGAATACAAACGATAAGCATGACAGGGTGTTAAGAAGCTAATAACATCTAAAAGAAGTTGGCAATTACACTCTTTATTTCTAGTGGCAAGCTCACTTTAAATGGGATGGTTCACCTTTTTCTACTATACATGTTCACATGGTTCTCATTGTGATCAGAGGCAGTGAGCTAACATACCTTAGAGCAGTGGTCTCCAAACTGTGGCCTGGGGGCCAGATAAGACCATTTGCTTGCCTTTATCCAGCCCTTGGAGCATAATTCCTGCAACTGACACCAATGATGGGGCACTATTCCTCCCCTGACATCAATGGTGGGGCACTATTCCTCCCACTGATACAATGATGGGGCACTATTCCTCCCACTGATACAATGATGGGGCACTATTCCTTCCACTGATACAATGATGGGGCATTATTCCTCCCACTGATACAATGATGGGGCACTATTCCTTCCACTGATACAATGATGGGGCACTATTCCTCCCACTGATACAATGATGGGGCACTATTCCTTCCACTGATACAATGATGGGGGCATTATTCCTCCCACTGATACAATGATGGGCATTATTCCTCCCACTGATACAATGATAGGGCACTATTCCTTCCACTGATACAATGATGGGGCATTATTCCTCCCACTGATACAATGATGGGGCACTATTCCTTCCACTGATACAATGATGGGGCATTATTCCTCCCACTGATACAATGATGGGGCACTATTCCTTCCACTGATACAATGATGGGGCACTATTCCTTCTACTTTTACAATGATGGGGCACTATTCCTCCCACTGATACAATGATGGGGCACTATTCCTCCCACTGATACAATGATGGGGCACTATTTTTCCCACTGATACAGTGATAGGGCACTATTCCTCCCACTGATACAATGATGGGGCACTATTCCTCCCACTGATACAATGATGGGACACTTTTCCTTCCACTGATACCATGATGGGGCACTATTCCTTCCACTGATACAGTGATAGGGCACTATTCCTCCCACTGATACAATAATGGGGCACTATTCCTCCCACTGACACCAATGAAGGGGCATTGTTACAAATGGGACATTTTCTACTCCCACTGTCAGGCCCCTCTAAAGTCTGAAGGGTAGTAAACGGGCCCTTTGTTACTGAATAAACCTAAAATGTTCTTTATATAAAACATTCCTCATTGTACTTACTACATTGTCGTCAAAACTGCCATCTTCTGGAACAAATAATGTTCTATAGGAAGTCCTATTTACCAGCATATCGAAAAATTCAGCACCTTGAGAACTGGAATTACTATAATCAAGAAGCATCTAGGGAAACAATGTTTGAACCATACAGATTATAAATACATAGGTACAATTTACAAACTATATGGCATTTAAATGTTTTTTTTAAAGCTCAATAGCCAGTAGGAGGTTTTAACAGAACGTGAGATTTCAGATAACAGATGATTTACAAATACAATGTAAATATAATTGGAACAGCTGAAGAAGTGAAGTACACCTAGCAAATTGCTCCAGATTGTCTGAGAACTAAATAACTAAGGTTTTGTCCTGATAACGGTTAGATCAATTCCACCACTAGCTTTTTCATGTCTTTCACACACAGCTGCTTCAAAACCAGTGTGTATGGATTCTCATTTACAGCATAGGAATTTTAAATACAATTGACTTAAAGGAATTCTTTACTGAAACACAAACAGATGATACCATTATTGACTTCTCATTAAGCAAATACTAGTAGCTGGTTGTCATGATAACCCATTAGTTTCACTACTCTGATCTGAGTCACTAACTCAAAACGTATACTGATGAGAAATTTTGACATTTCTCTGACTTTATCTGCATTTATCACCATTTTTGATGAGTGAACTAAGCCAGTCATGAATGGTTCAAATCTCAGCCGGTTCAGCAGGGACCGGACGCAATTCGAACCATCTATGGGCAGGCTGATTGTACCCAATTTGATTGTTGTACGACTTGGGTACAACCAGCCTTTTGTATTTATCATGCAAATTTTGCCAGTGGCTATAGCCACTAGCAATAATCATTGTGTTCTCCCAGCAGGGTTGGCCCCCCTCCCCCCACCCCCCTGCCTGGAGAACACAGGAAAGAAAATTGCACCATCTATGGCTTGCTTAAGAAAGCACAGAAGGGTCAGCACAATTGACAGAAAATCCTCATATTTCTCTCATGAAAGATTTATTTTTGCCTTTACTGCACCAATGCCACAAAAAAGCCTGGTTACAATATGCCCAACGATTCTTTTCTGCCCCCCATGGCTCAGTGTCTAGCCTGCTCCTTGCATCCATGTGAGAGCTAAAAACCTCTATTTATACACAGATACTAATTGCAATTTAACCACTTCAATACTGGGCACTTTACCCCCTTCCTGCCCAGGCCAATTTTCAGCTTCAGCGCTCTCAGTTTGAATGACAATTGTGTGCTCATGCGACACTGTACCCAAACTAAATTGTTATTTTGTTCACGCAACTAGAGCTTTGTCTTGGTGGTATTTAATCATTACTGGATTTTTTTTTTTTGTTAAAAAAAGACCGAACATTTTGGAGAAAAAACGTTTTCTTTGCTTCTGTTATAAAATTTTGCAAATAAATAATTGTTCTTCAGAAATTTCTTTGGTGAGAATAACCCAAATTAGTGTACATTATTTAGTCTGTAGGAAAGTTATAGAGTCCACAAACTATGGGATATATCTGAAAATCGATCAATACTGAAGTACTGACATCTTATATCATTTCTTGAGGTCCAAAAATATCAGGACAGTACAGATATCCCCCAAATTACCTTTTTCTGAAACGTAATCAGCATACGGTATTTAGTAAGAGGCATAGCGAGTTTTTTGGAATTGTAATTTTTTGGAATATAAAGAAATTAAAAAAAAGTCACTTTTTTTTTTTACATACTGCACCGATGCAGTACAGCATCATTATATAACTAGTGTGGAGGTGATCAGGCACACTGACTGGTGACAGTATGAAAAAGAAAAAAGTTATATTTTTTTTCAATTTCATTTTATTAAATTTTTTTAAAATAAATATTGTGATCAGAGTGATATAATGTTACCATAGTAACATTGTACTACTCTGGGGAAGTGATCAGTACTTTTTTTTTTTTTTTTACAAATTATGATTGCCTATAGCAGTGAATTTCATTAGCAAGCATTCACCTGAATGAAATCGATTCAGTGTTTTTTGTTGTGATTAGCTGTGATTGGCCCCAGCTAATTACATGACACAGATGGGCTGTGACTGGCCCAGTTTGTACCATGTGATCACTGTGACCAATCACAGTTAGCAACACAATTGTATACAATAGATGGCATGAAAGGAAGCCATCCATTGTTTACAGTTGTAATGTGACCTGCTGTGATTGGTCACAGTGGAGCCATGGTACAGTCAATGGGTCGGTACACAGATTAGTTATCGGCTCTATCTCATGGACACAGCCAGTGACAGATCTCACCGCAGCATGGCCCTGCAGGTACGCGCAGAGTCGCGATCCGGGAGGACGTCCTATGACGCCCACCCAGAACGACTAAAGTCCCGCTCGGCCGTCATTTTGCTATTGGCCAGGTGGGAACTGGTTTATATGCCAGAGATGTAGGAAATTACCCTTTAATTGTCATTTTAACCTGTGTGTGTCACCTAATGTGTCTGTACCAAGGCCAAACATACCTGGGTATGAAAACCTTTGATCAGGGCCATTTGGGTGATTCTATTATCATTATGAGTTGAAAAGGAGCCAAACAATAATGTGATAATAAATGGCTTCATATGATCACTATCCTTAAATAAAAGATTTTTGGCATGCACAGTCATATTTTCAATATCAATGCCAAAATGTCATGATTTTTGCCAGGGTATGCAAACTTGTGAGCACAACTGTAATACAAAGAGAACCACATGCATTACTAGTTCCAGATTACACATCCTAGTATACAGGGTGGTCATAAACTGATGTTGCAGCATTTGGGGATATCTGTGATGAACCTTTGATGAGTAAAATATGCCTTGAAAGAAGGTCAATAGAAAGTGAATGAGAAGAAAATAAAACGTGTGAGAAAAGAGAAATATGTTTGTGAAAACGTAAGAGGTGATATCTTATTTAAAGGGTAACTTAACCTTTGTGGAAAAAAATAGAGCAAGCAAAAAAAACAAACAAACAATAATTACAACATGGCTTGCGTAGCAATTTTATATGCCACGTTATTAAAAATTACCGTTCCTTTTCAAACTGCATCTGCTGTAATTTTCTGTAAAATCTAAGCAATATGGTGACTTGGAGGCAAAGGAAATTCCTGTTAGCCAGCTAGCTCATACATATGTGTGTGCACATACTTCTGCTCACGGCTCTGCACACACTACACAGAGTATAAGTGGACATGAGTCAGTATTGGTGCCAGACAGCCTGTTTAAGGGATGCTCTACCTCAGTGGCAATGCAGACTGGTCTTCAGTGTGTTCTTGCTTTATCACCTGTGTTTTCCAGTTACCAACCTGGCTTCCTCCTGACCTGATTTTGCTCTGTACTATTGCTCAACCAGATTATGGATTCAACTTCTTCCATGACCCTGATCCATGTTCTGATATGATACTTTATTGTCCACTCTTTGCTGACTTCAGTTTGATCAGTGGCTTTGCTAATACCTTTGATGCTGCCCCGTGCCACTGCCAGGTGCCCACTTGTACCATGTCCAACTCCTACCTGCTTGTATCATTGGTGTACCCTGCTATCCTAAACCGTCTGATGAATCAGAGTTTCCCTTTAACTTCTGCTGATTCTCCTGCTGACTGCTTGCTACTCCTGACTGCATACCCTGCTGGATGGGCCTGATTGGCATCTCCAGTCCCATTTCTGCACTTGTGTTCCTCCTGCCCCTTTGCACTCTTTCAGAGGCATTTTTCTCACGTTCAGAGGCATCCTGGCAGGAGATGTAAGAGAGGCTGCCCTCATCATCTCGTCTCCTATCAGGTACATGACAGTGTGATTGCCTCACTGATTTTTCCAGAGGTCTGCAGACAGATACAAATTTTCAGGCATCCCTACTAAGAATTTCAGTTTTGGTGGGATACTCTCTAGGAGATAAATATTTCTAAAGGGATGCAGGCCCTGCATTAGAACACTGAGAGGGCACCAGCTGATTATAATGAACCAAACCTTCCCACTCAGATTCAGTCTGCAATCATCCCAGGGAAACAAACAGCAATTTCTTTAAAGCAACGCAAGTTAGTAATTTGCTTCAAAGTTTGTTAAAAATCCTTGCAATGTACATTGATCTCTCAGAGGGGATTGCTTTTTTCTAAACAAAAGTGGAGTTTTGTGTGTTTTAAGTCTTTAAGTGGAAGGGAACCTAAATGCAGACACATATTGGTGCCTGCACTTATCTAGTTCAAATCTCCAGATGCCCCTGACCCTCCAGCACTCAATATGCAAGTATTAACTTCCAGTTTGGTTGAAGATGCGGCAGTGCACAGTGCAGGTCTCCTACTGGTGAGGTTAGTACAAAAAGTGTGGTCAAGCTAGGACTTCAGAGCAGCAGGCTGCCATTGCATTCTGCAGTCCCTGGAGCTAAGGGTTCCATGATACTCAAGAAAACAAAACTAGTATATGTGTTGACGCCTCTAGGCAAGGTATTTTATGTCTTCAGGTCACTTGATTAACTTTGCCCAAGAGCCTTGTATGCTTTAACATTTTTCTTGTCAACTCTAGAAGGGGTTCTTACTCTCAAGACTAAAAGAGATTACTTTTTTTTTTAAAAAGATTTTCCTCCTCTTGTAAGGCTACCAGGGGGTGTGGAATAGAATGGAAGCTAGTTTTTCAACTTTGAGTAAACATGGTGAGGTGAATCTTTGCCTCGCTCCTTACATTATTGGAAACCTTCTACAACGAGTTCTCTGTTCCTTGCTTTACTGTCTGTTTAGCCCAAGACAAGCTTATTCTTCCCATTGCTTTGCAATTTCTAAGTATCACAAACAATGTAATAGGAGTAAAGGGAAGCACTGAGACCCTATAGTATGCAGGTGTGTGTGGTAAGGGCTAGCCAGGAACTCACTAAAGGAGCCTCTAAGAAAAAGATATCCAGTGAATGAGTTATGTCAACCAGCACCACACTAAATTTCAGGTTCTAATTTTAGTAAAACAGATGGTGGATCTGGTGCCTCGATGTGAAGAACAAAAACACCCTCGATGCCACTTCACGGGAAAAGCACTTACAGGTATGCATTGACACTTTATTTCTGCATAAAATCAGTATCTATAACAGCCAGGAAAGAGATTGTGTACTGATACTGACAATAATTGATGCCTTTAGACACAACTACATAACAAAAAGAAAACTCACCGAATAGAATGTGGATGTTTTAGAATATTCCTCCAAAACTTCCAGCAGGTTTCCATTGCAGAAGCTGCCATCGCCCACATATCCATCAGGACAATCACATTCTGCATCTAGAAAACAAGAATACCTTTGTGCGAATCTGAGATAATCTCAACTTAAATGTCTCTATTACAGTTAATTGAGTTTTACTTTTTGTACACCCTATCAAGTACATTTTACTTTAAGGCAATTATTATTAAATGTTTTCCCAATTAATTGGGATAGAAGAATCCACATCAGAAGTTCCATGCTTAGCTTGCTTGACATGCTGTATAATTTAAAGCAGTTTCCAACTTCCATTTAACAAGCAGAAAGTGCCTTCAAAGACAGGGTAATGTTCAACAGTGCACGTCTGAGACTGTGCCTGCTGCCTTTTTGAGAAGTGTCAAGGTTGAGAATGGACTGGCCTTGGGTGAGAGTGCTGCTCCTCCATATATACATTACAGTGTGTTAACATTGTCACTATGGAAAAAGAAGTGTTAGTGGTAGGATCACCAGGTTGACAAGGAAAGTAAAAAAATGGCCTTAAAAAGGGAAAACTTGCGTAGTCACCACAACTAAAGACTGGTAAGCTGCAAACATTTTTGTTGTTGAGTTTAGACTTTAGTTTTACACTTTAATTCTTGAGCTAGAACAGAGATAGGTGTACTTTAAAGGTACAGAATATACTTGCTGGGTGATAATAATCTACATTTCCTCAGTAATATAGACAACAGTATACAAACCCTCAGTCCTTTTTCTTAAAGGAGAAGTACATCCAAAGCTTTTTTGTCTGTACTTCTCCTGTGGATCACAGCAGTGCAGTGCATTCTGCATTCCTGTGACCAGATAATAATCTACATTTTTTTCAGCTGACAGTGGATGTTGGCTGATGTCACTCAGCCTGGGTCCAGCTGGGGTTACATAATGAGTTCAAAATCGGGAACCACCCCAGAGTCTGGGGCAAAACCTGGCTCGGCCTCTCTGCAAAGCACTGAGAGCCTGAGCCAGCTGCTCCCTCCCCCTCCAAAGCTTAGCAGTCATGTGATCTCTGGGTTCTCACCCTTAGAGCTGGTGGGGGACCGATGCTGCATCTACTTACGTAAGTATAAATAGGGGGAAAAAAGCCCTATTTCTCTTTTAAAATTTATCAAAGCATACTAGTCAGGTATTTACTCTCAGTGGAACACAATAGGCTTTGGGCAATGTGAATGTGAAAACGATCCTTTGTGCAATGTGAATGTGCAGTTTATATTTAGTCTGCTACCAAATTCATGTAGTGGTAGCCCTACCTAAACAATCCACCCAATTTGTATTTAGTTGGGGCAGCTCATTAAATGCATAATTGTAGATAGATCAAAAGAACATTGTTAAATCAAATTGCAACATGTATGGCCAGGGTAACCCAACAAAAAAAAGAGAAAAAACAATTAAAAAAGAAAACGTTATAAAAAGATGTATTATTATACAGCAGGTGTGGATTCTGGTAGCAAAGGTTATGTTCCTGCAGACTCCAGTCTGGCTCTGAAACTAGCAGATGGTTTTAAAGGGTCTCAGCATCCTATACTAAAAGCATACAAACCTTTAAAACGATAACAGTAGACATCCCATGTCTCGCTCAGGTTTGTTCTCTGTTTGTAGTCTACAATTCCGACATGATTTGAACCACAGCTTACACTGGGATACACTGTGGGATAACCTGCAGTTCTGTTAAACAGCCATCCAACCATGCAGCGATGATAGCCCAACTATTGTTAGTCAAACATAAAAGGAGATGAAAAAAAGGACTTGAAATTAGTGTTGGCAAAAACATAGTTACATGTTCATCAAGTTTAACCACAAAAAAAAAAGTTGCACCCAGAGAACCCTAAACTAGCAGCTGACCCAGAGAAGGACAAAAAAATATTATAGAGGATTTATTTACTGCAACAGGCAAAGTCTTCCAGATCCCCCAGGGCAATCAGATGCTCCATGGCTCAGTCTTCTACAAGGCCATGTCATAAGTATCAGTTTAAATTGTTGGACATTTAAAACACATTCAGCTATTTTTTGTAAATCTACCAATCTAGCTAGGATCAGTTCCTCGGAGAAAACTATTCCACATTTTCCCCTGCTCTCACAGTACATAACCTTTTAATGTTTGTCAAGGACAAATATTTTTCCCCCAGTCATGCAGTATGTATGATACAACCCAGTCAGCAAAAAGTGCCTTTTTACACTGATGACTCAGGATGAAAAAAAGTCACATGACTATGTCTGGCAAAGAAAATAGGGATAATCTCAGAGCAGTATAACTAAACGTTACAGGCCCTGGTATTATGGTCGTTTTATTTCTCATTAAGTAACCTTCTCCTGTCCAGTTCAGTGTTTTATGTTTAAAAATAAAGTGCCTTGAAAAAAGTATTCATACCCCTTGAAATGTTTCACATTTTGTCATGTTACAACCAAAAGAAACACAAATGTATTTTATTAGGATTTTATGTGATAGATCAACACAATGTATCACATAATTGTGAAGTAGAAGGAAAATTATATAAATGATTTCAAAATTGCTTACAAATAAATATCTGAAAAGTGTGGCGTGCATTTGTATTCAGCCCCCTTTACTCTGATACCCCTAACTAAAATCTAGTGGAACCAATTGCCTTCAGAAGTCACCTAATAGTAAATAGAGTCCACCTGTGTGTAATTTAATCTCAGTATAAATGTTGCTGTTCTGTGAAGCCCTCACTCTGATAATTTTTCCAGTCAACTGTTTAATGTAGGGAGTATCTGATTTTGAAATAATTTATTTAATTTTTTCCCAGACATTCAAAGTTGAAAGTGCTTGAGGCAGACAAATTTACCATATGTGTTACACTGAACTAAGGTTGCATGCAATCCATTAAAACTATTATATCAAACACTAAAACATACTGAAATCTATTGCAGGGCCCTATATTCAATCACCCCACCATGGCCATGTTCTAAATGGTTTTGCTCCACGCTCTTCTTCCCACAGTCTATATGCATTCTTCTAAATTAACTTGTTTCTGTCCAAACTGGTATAACAGTGTCTTGAAAAAGTAATTCATACCCCTTGAAATTTTCCACATTTTATTATGTTAAACCAAAAACGTAAATGTATTTTTACTGGGATTTCATGTGATAGACCAACACAAAGTGGCATATAATTGTGAAGTGAAAGAAAAATGATAAATTGTTTTAAAAATTGTTTACAAATATATATCTGAAAAGCGTGGCGTGCATTTGAATTCATCCCTCTTTACTCTGATACCCCTAACTAAAATCTAGTGAAACCAATTGCCTTCAGAAGTCACCTTATTAGTAGAGTCCACCTGTGTGTAATTTAATCTAAGTATAAATACAGCTTTTCTGTGAAGCCTCAGGAGGTTTATTAGAGAATATTAGTGAAGAAACAGCATCATGAAGGCCACGGAACACACCAGATAGGTCAGGCATAAAGTTGGGAGAAGCTTAACACATTGTTGGGTTATAAAAAAATATCCCAAGCTTTGAACCTCTCACAGAGCACTGTTCAATCCATCATCTGAAAATGAAAAGAGTATGGCACAGCTGCAAACCTACCAAGACATGGGCCATCCACCTAAACTGACAGGCCAGGCAAGGAGAGCCAGCCAAGAGGCCCATGGTAACTCTGGGAGGAGCTGCAGAGATCCACAGCTCAGGTGGGAGAATCTGTCCACATGACAACTATTAGTCGGTGCACTCCACAAATCTGGTCGTTATGGAAGAATAGCAAGAAGAAAGCCGTTGTGAAAGAAAGCTATAAGAAGTCATTTGTAGTTTTGTGAGAAGCCATGTGGGGGACACAGCAAACGTGGAAGAAGGTGCTCTGGTCAGTTGAGACCAAAATTGAACTTTTTGGTTTAAAAGCTAAAAATGCTATGCGTGGCGTGAAACTGACACTGCACATCACCCTGAACACACCATCCCTACTTTTGTAAATCTACCAATCTAGCTAGAATCAGTTCCTCGGAGAAAACTATTCCACATTTTCCCTGCTCTCACAGTACATAACCTTTTAATGTTTGTCAAGGACAAATATTTTTCCCCCAGTCATGCAGTATGTATGATACAAACCCAGTCAGCAAAAGTGCCTTTTTACACTGATGACTCAGGATGAAAAAAGTCATATGACTATGTCTGGCAAAGAAAATAGGGATAATCTCAGAGCAGTAACTAAAAGTTACAGGCCCTGGTATTATGGTCGTTTTATTTCTCATTAAGTAACCTTCTCCTGTCCAGTTCAGTGTTTATGTTTAAAAATACAAAGTGCCTTGAAAAAAGTATTCATACCCCTTGAAATGTTTCACATTTTGTCATGTTACAACCAAAAGAAACACAAATGTATTTTATTAGGATTTTATGTGATAGATCAACACAATGTATCACATAATTGTGAAGTATGAAGGAAAATTATAAATGATTTTCAAAATTGCTTACAAATAAATATCTGAAAAGTGTGGCGTGCATTTGTATTCAGCCCCCTTTACTCTGATACCCCTAACTAAAATCTAGTGGAACCAATTGCCTTCAGAAGTCACCTAATTAGTAAATAGAGTCCACCTGTGTGTAATTTAATCTCAGTATAAATGTCGCTGTTCTGTGAAGCCCTCACATAAATATTCTGATAATTTTTCCAGTCAACTGTTTAATGTAGGGAGTATCTGATTTTGAAATAATTTATTTAAATTTTTCCCAGACATTCAAAGTTGAAAGTGCTTGAGGCAGACAAATTTACCATTTGTGTTACACTGAACTAAGGTTGCATGCAATCCATTAAAACTATTATATCAAACAGTAAAAACATACTGAAATCTATTGCAGGGCCCTATATTCAATCACCCCACCATGGCCATGTTCTAAATGGTTTTGCTCCAGGCTCTTCTTCCCACAGTCTATATGCATTCTTCTAAATTAATTTGTTTCTGTCCAAACTGGTATACAGTGTCTTGAAAAAGTATTCATACCCCTTGAAATTTTCCACATTTTTATTATGTTACAACCAAAAACATAAATGTATTTTACTGGGATTTCATGTGATAGACCAACACAAAGTGGCATATAATTGTGAAGTGAAAGAAAAATGATAAATTGTTTTAAAAATTGTTTACAAATATATATCTGAAAAGTGTGGCGTGCATTTGTATTCATCCCTCTTTACTCTGATACCCCTAACTAAAATCTAGTAAAACCAATTGCCTTCAGAAGTCACCATATTAGTAGAGTCCACCTGTGTGTAATTTAATCTAAGTATAAATACAGCTGTTCTGTGAAGCCCTCAGAGGTTTATTAGAGAATATTAGTGAAGAAACAGCATCATGAAGGCCACGGAACACACCAGATAGGTCAGGCATAAAGTTGTGGAGAAGCTTAACGCATTGTTGGGTTATAAAAAAATATCCCAAGCTTTGAACCTCTCACAGAGCACTGTTCAATCCATCATCTGAAAATGAAAAGAGTATGGCACAGCTGCAAACCTACCAAGACATGGCCATCCACCTAAACTGACAGGCCAGGCAAGGAGAGCAGCCAAGAGGCCCATGGTAACTCTGGAGGAGCTGCAGAGATCCACAGCTCAGGTGGGAGAATCTGTCCACATGACAACTATTAGTCGTGCACTCCACAAATCTGGTCGTTATGGAAGAATAGCAAGAAGAAAGCCGTTGTTGAAAGAAAGCTATAAGAAGTCATTTGTAGTTTGTGAGAAGCCATGTGAGACACAGCAAACGTGGAAGAAGGTGCTCTGGTCAGATGATACCAAAATTGAACTTTTTGGTTTAAAAGCAAAATGCTATGCGTGGCGTAAAACTGACACTGCACATCACCCTGAACACACCATCCCTACTGTGAAACATGGTGGTGGCAGCATCATATTGGGGATGCTTTTCTTCAGTAGGTTGGGGAGCAATCTAGCAATTGGCACACCCTTCTAGGATTCCTCCAGCTATCCTACAAGCTAGAACCCCAGTGTTAAAAACAGAAACAAAACTTTTACCAAGAGTTATCCTGCGACTGGAGCAAGTCAGAGAAAGTCCGCGATTCGCCATTCAATAGAACCGGCTTCGTATGAATCACACCGTCCATGTCTCAGGGTCCTCAATTTATTGAGATATGGACGTAGGCTGGACATTAGCCCTTGGACAATCTACTCTGGGGGGTGTTCCTGTACTAGCCCACAGGACATTCTGGGTACTGAAGTGCCCAAAGACGATTGGACCAGGAACAGTTTGAATCACCAAGTCAGGGATAAAATTTCCGACAACAGCGCATCAGTCCGATTGCGACAGTACCAATCGCTGTTCAGCTGTCGCAATCAGGCACCATATAACCATTTTCTGCATTTTGCTGGGATTCTACAGAGGCTACAAATACAGTTTTACATGCAGGTGTAGCCTACAGTGTGTCCAATCAGAAGGAAGTATTTTCATCTCTCTGCAACTAATATTTTAGCTTTCATGAGAGATGAAATAATTTCCTTTGATCTGGGTCTATAAGTTATAGCTCCTAGACAGATCGGAGCCCTCGCCTAGTCTCCTGCTGCTCCCCAAAGCCGAAATGTCTGGAGTTCCTCTTTTAAACTTCCAGAAGGTGACAAAGTCTGACTACATAGGTGGCAAGGTTTTATTGGCATCTAGGTGTCACCTCCAGTCTAGAAGCTGCTCTGTCCTTTCAGATGCTAATTGGTGAACAAATGTCTCTGACTGAATATCTTATTATTAAC